CCGAAGAAAGTCCATAAGTGGTCTATTAGCATGGTCATTGAACACTGTCCGAATTCGTGCTTCACGTTCACGGTCCCGTTTTTTTTGTAAGGGTTGTGGTATTCCTCGTAAAATCAATTCTACATCAAGCTCAACTCGATTTTGTTCTTTTTGCAATTCCTTTATGATTTTGTAAACACTTAAATGTGCAGTACCTACTAAGGCACCCCATCTTCGATGCCAAGCCTCTACAAAATTTTGAGTTCGTGGAAATGCATAATCGATATTATCAACAACTGACCAGAAGTCAGGTGGAAATAATGGTGATGCTCAAATTGCATTCCCATGTCTTAATGTGCGTCTTGTTCTACCATGTACATAGCACTCTTCGAACCATTCTACGATTTCGTTGGCCTCTGGAGGAATATCATCCTTTAATTGAAAATATTCCAACGAACGTTTTATTAATTATTCAATAGTTTGTGTAGGAGTAATCAAAGTAAGTTTTAAGGACAAGATCTATGAAGCTTGCAAAATATTCTAACAAACGTTTATCAATTAATTAATAGTTTGTGTAGGAGTAATCGAAGTAAGCTTTAAGGACAAGATCTATGAGCAAAATATACTAACGAAGGTTTTATCAATCATTCAATAGTTTATATAAATTTCTCTTTTATTTTAACTTATATTTAATAACATCACTATAATCATTATTGTTGTTGTTTATTGTTCTAATCATCATTTACATATGTATATAGGAATAAATGTAAAAGAAAAATTAATATTTAACACTTGACGATCTTCAAAAATTATATGACTATAAAATTTTTATTGACTTGCACTATACCTTCGAAACTACCTTTTAACAATAAACCAAATGTCAAAGGAATTAGTCTAATAAATTAAATTGTGCTACTTGAAGATGTATTTAAAGGGTTGGTTTTGACTTGGTCGAAGGACAACTCTCTTTCTAACTCTTCTCTTGACCATATCTCTTGATATAACATAATAATAACAATAAACGAAATGATTGTCGATGAAGTAAACGTGACCAATTTAAGATACAAATTATTTAATAAAACAACTCAAAAAATGATTTTTTTGAATGTTCTAGTAAATTTCCATTGTTGCCACATCATCACGTTGTTGGTTCAACATTACCCGAAGTTTAATTTAGTCGTTTTCTTATGTTAAATATCGCATTATGAAATAATTAATTAATAAATATGACGAATACAAATACAAATAATAATAATTCATACGAATAATTAATAATAATGTCTTTTATTTTTTTAAAAAAAAAATTACAATTAATGTATTTAATAGAGTAGCAATACTAAAATGAAATACTACGAGCCATTCCCCGAAGAAAGTCCATAAATGGTCTATTATCATGGTCATTGAACACTGCCCGAATTTGTGCTTCACGTTCATGGTCCCGTTTTTTTTGTAAAGGTCGTGGTTTCCTTGTAAAATCGATTCTATGTCAGGCTCAACTCGATTTTATTCTTTTTGCAATTCTTTATGATTTTGTAACACCTGAATGTGCAGTACCTACTAAGGCACCCCATCTTCGATGCCAAGCCTCTACAAAATTTTGAGTTCGTGGAAATGCATAATCGATATTATTAACGACTGACCAGAAGTCAGGTGGAAATAATGGTGATGCTCGAATTGCATTCCCATGTCTTAATGTGCGTCTTGTTCTACCATGCACATAGTACTCTTCGAACCATTCTATAATTTCGTTAGCCTCTGGAGGAATATCATGCTTTAATTGATCAATGCCGCAGGAATGTCGTCAGGAGGCAAGAAAGCAAGTGCGGGAATGTGTCTAATTTTTAAACTGAAATTTTCGTCAGTCCCATATTGAACACTAAGTTCAGAAGCTTGTACTTTCCGGTAAATGCTCTGAGCCAAATGAAATAAACATCCCTTGTTTTGGACACCTTGAAATTCTCTACGAACAGCATTGATGGCTGCTTGTTCGAAATCAGTTAAAATAAATTGTGGCCGGAGAAGAACATCATTTTCGTCATCAAAATCAACCAATCCCTGAAACGAATTCCTATAACATTCTTCCGATTTTCTGGGCATTAATGCATAGACAAGTGGCATTATTTGTGAATTTTCATCTCTACCAACACGCCCATGAATTGAATATAACTGTCTAAATATATTTGGAACTGTTTTAAATGTTCCATTCATAATCCAGAAAGGGAATTGTTCCAGATATTGGACATTAGCAATGGTTGTAAAGAGCAATATTCTATCTTGATCTAGGACAATAACTTTAACCAAAAAGCCTGATCCATTTAGAGTCTTTGTCAAATCTTTAGGAATAATAAGTTCATTTAAGGATTCTGGTTCTACAAGAAGATCAGAGCTCCTAATTCGATTAATTGTTTGACAAGTGCATCACGAGATGGAAGGTATGGATGCGCTTCATGAGAGATACTAGCAGTTGTGGTTTGAATAATTTGTGCAGGTGGTTCATTAGTCTCTCTTCCTCTCTCTTTTAAAGTATTAACAGTTCTTATAACATTGGCTCGGCTTGCCTCCGCAGCATGATTATGATCTGTAACTTTTTGGAAATGATTTTGTCCTTCAACCAACGTGGTAACTGCTCGGCCTTTACATTGTAATGTATCACGTTTTTCACAACGCAGGTAATAAAGAATTGTCACGATTTTTATTTTTGCACATAACAAAACCATGAATATTGATTTTGTCTTTGACCACGATTAGAAGAAACAATTTCATAAACAGTATTATTCATTTTAAAAAAGGTAGTAAATGGCATATCTGTTTTTTCTGAAATGTTAAATTTAAATATGTATGTGTGTGTATATATATATATATTTTAATTATTTTCAAGAGGAATAGCCTCATATAAAGTTAATTTGGAATTTTATTTTGTGAATTATTTTTATTATATTTACTTTATTCTAATAAAATTATATGAGCAAGATATTGCCTTTATTAAAAAAAAAAAGGTAGTAAATATATGATGATAATTATTATCAAATTAAGAAAATTTTATTCTGATGTCTTTGCGAATTATAGTTATATTTATAATGAAAAAATTGTCATGTAGACAACGAGCAAACCATACTCTTTCTGAGTGGTAACAATAATTAATTGTTGATTTTAAAATTTTTAAAACCCATCTTTGTACAAAGTAGGTTTTCGCCAAATTCCTTTATGATTGTCAGACCCATTTATTCATACGATTTTAATAATATCAAAAACTAATTTTCAATTTAATGATTTAGCGTAACATATACATTGCACTGTTTAGTATCCTACTACTACCCTTTAATTGATTTATTATTAGTATAATTTGCATTTGTATGATTGTAATTAAGAAAGAAATTTGATATTATACATTCCTGATGGAATTCAGAAAATTCAGCTAAAATCAGAGTGCTAATTAGTTTGCAAGTATACGAATGACTCAAATTTATGCATCATGAAAGGAATATTACCAATTTGTCTGATCCACACACTCTACTAAAAAACAATCAATACTAAAATATTCAATGTCAATATTGTTGTCATCACCATCATCACCTCATTTATCATTAGTACGATATATAAGCCGACGAAATGAACTGTCGACGAAATGAACTTCGACGAAATGAACTTTTGACAAAACAAACTTTCGACGAAATGAACTTTCGATGAAATGATTGGATTCTGTATTCAATCCTTCGTTGACGTTGAATTTGTTATTTGCATTACAATGTCTTATCTTGTTACCTATGATAAAGATTTTGTAAGATATATCGCTAATACTAATAAAAACATTAATCTTAAATAGTAATATATATAAATAAGTTGGTTTTTCACTATATAGTCAACCTTCTAAAATTACTATGTATTATATTAATGTATATATTAATTAATACATTAGCTGCTACAAAATATAACTATTGTTATTATCACTCCAACATGGGAAACAATAACCAAAAAACATTATTATCATTATATATATATAATTAAAAACATATATAGAAATAAGGAACCTTTTATTTTGATATTTTTGATATATAATAATAATTTAGTGAGCTTGGGCCAAAAATTTTATATATTAATATATAATTTGTACATAGAAAACTGAAAAAAAAAACAATATATTATTAATGAAAGATTCACCATTTGAAGGGAAAAATAAAATAACAGTTAAAAAAAAACATCATATAATAATATATAATATATATAATTCGTCCAATTTCCATAACAATTTATCTTTCTATCGTGATAAAAATTAATTCGCTTCCTTCAATTTATTTGAAGCCAATTGCACCATAACTTATAGCACCCGAAATGTTCTCTTTCTTGCATATTAATATAATAATTCCTTTTTGTGAAATATTATTTGACTTTTGACTGTATTTTAATATTTATTTTATTATCTCTTTTTAAGTTGGCAGTTCCAGTCACACAACGACTTTCTACAAAAATTCGCGTCGACTTTAAGAAATTTATCGAATACTTTCCAATGGCAATTGAAGCCCGACAGAGGTAGATGCAAGGATTATCGACGAATAAATGAAAACTAATTATTACATTAACGTGTGAACTAATCTGGCCAATTACACATTGTTAAAATAATTATGTACCAAGTGACATTTTAGTTTAAATATTTTTTAGTTTAAATTTTTGTTATATAAAAAGTTTACAACTTTTCAAAATATTATTACTATAAAGTTTTAAATTATTCAGTTTTGATATATATATTGATTTGTTACTATTTTTTTGGTAAATATATATATTAAAAATAATAATAATAATAATTTTTTAATTTATAATTTTAAAAATATATTTAGACATTTATATATCGTATACATCCTACATATAAAAATCTCTATAAGAACATTTTTAGGAAAAGTTATTATGTTCTTGACAAGATTCTTATCAAATATGTATATATATAAATTGGTCCAATAAAAATACATCAACATTACATTGATAATAATAAATACATATATAATAATGTACATATAATAATATTATGATTATGATTCAGTGATATAACTTCTTGAACGTCTTCTCCAAGTATTTCCAGACAATAATTCCTTGATAGTATCATCGAAATTATCTTGTTCATCATTCAAAGAATTTATACTCAATGTATCAAACTATTTATTAAAAATTTTTCGTTAAAATTATTATTTTATTAATAGAAAATTTCATGATAAACCACAATATTGTATTTATTTACCTGTTGTTTTGATTGATCATCTTTCGCCTTTTGTATTTTCCTTTTAATAAATTCTTCGTTTTCATTTTTAGCTTTCTAATGAAATAAAATTTATTCATTCATTGATACTAATTAATTGGCGACGAAAAAAAAAAAAAAAGGAATAACATTAATAATAATACATAGCAATTATTTATTTACCATAAATGAAGATGAAAATGTTAAAATTAATCCTAATAAATCTTCGACTTTCTTATCATCTGGATTTTCTCCATAATAATAAATCAATATTTTTTTTGACTCTTCTTCTAACTCATTTGTCATATTTTTAATTTTTTCAATTGTTGGTCGTGCAATTTGAATAAATTCCTAAAAAATGCAATATAATTAATAAAATCAATACATCTATATCTATGTTGTATATCAATACATATATACAATATATTTATGAAAAAACAAAAGAAACTTACGCTCATAACTATTATAAAATTATCTTTAATTTCCGAATTAGTTGTAGAAGAAAGAAGAGGTAATTGCTTTAGAATTCCTAATTCGTTTTCGATCCGTGAAATGCCCGAGAACAATGACTTCACAGATGATAAAACAGAAGTTGTGGAAATTCTGACCGATGCTTCCAAATTTGGTAATTCTTCCATAAAATTCATAATGTCATTTTGATACATTTCTAATGTATACACTAAATAATGTAAAAGTGTAGCTATTCCTTTTTCATTATTAATATCCATTACTTTTGTGTCTTTCATCTATATTCAATAGATAATGAATGAATGAATAAGTATTTCTGTCTGTCTGCAATAAAGAATGAATGTGAAATGTATATATATATATATATACGAATACCTTTAAAAGTGCATCTAATTGAAATCCTGATGCATTACCTCGAAATGACGAGGTATTTAAATAATTACCAATTACCAATACGGTCTAAATACATGCAAACAAATATCATCTTAATATTTATATTAATGTTATGTATATAAATAACTTTATTGGTTTTATTTTTATTTTAGTTATTTACCTTTAGTAATTTTTTGAATTTTCTTGATGTTTTTATTTCGGTAAATGCTTTACGTAGCACATTAATTTTCTATTTATAAAAAATTCAATATAATAAAAAAGAGCAATCAGAACCAAGAGAACTAACTGATTAATAAATATGTATGTATGTAAATGAATAAATATGAGGTGACTTACAGGTACAAGTTTTTGTACTTTATTTTCAAATTTACGCCTAAATATCATGCATGTTAATCGTTCAGCTAATCTCGGAATCATTATAATATTCTTGAAATAGTTTTCTGCATTACCAAGTGCCAACAAATCACCAGTATATTGATTGATTAAATTTTGTTCTTGTAATGTTGGGACATATTTTTTAATTGATTTCAAATTCTCAATTGACAATTTTTCATCGTCAATTTCTAAAATAGCATCTCTTATTTCAGAATAAGACATTTTAACTTTTGATAACATAATAGCTATGTTATTAGCTCGACTAAAATCTAATAGTGTGATAGCTGCATTCTTTTTTGTTTTTGTTGTAGGTGATGTTGATGCCATTGCTAATGATGATGTTTGATCTTGTTCAACAATAATTCTTTGACCAAACAATTCATCCAATTCTTCAAAATTAATTGGAATACTATCACTAGGAATTTCTTGCCATACTGTTTTGTTAATCTCATTTACTGAAAATTTATTCCAAAATAATTGTTTTAATGGTCCTTTTGGTTTTGAAGAAAATTTACTTCCAGATAATAGGGGTGGAGGGGGTGGCGGTGGAGGAGGTGGTGGCGGTGGTGGTGGTGATGGTGATGATAAATTAGAATTAGTATGGTTTTGGGAAAATGATATTGTTGTCGGTTGTGGTGGTGGTGGTGATGATATTATTGATAATGAAGAAAACGATAAAGGAGTGTGTAAATGAGAAGCATCAAAATCATCTATTTTGGGTAAAGTAGCTGTTGCTGATAATATTGAAGATGACGATAATGGTGATGATGATAATGATGATGATAGTGATGATGATAATGGTGATATGGCAGTATTAATATTAATATTATTAGTAGTGAAAGCAATAGAAGTGGCAGGTGACAATATATTATTACTATTGGTTAATTTTCTTTTTGGTAGTGGTATTGGCGGAGGTGGTTTATTTATTTTTGTGGTAGAATTTTGTAATTTTGAAGAGAAAAAGTGAGGAGTTGAGGAATTATTGTTTGTTATGAGAATGGGACTGGAATCAATCTTTTTTGTTGTCGACGGCAATGATGGTTTTTGTTGTAATATGTTAATTTTGATATCTTGATTGTTTTTTTCTAATAATTTAGGTGGTGCTGGTTGCAGTTGAGTTGGTGGTGGGGGTGGCGGGGGTGGCGGTCTGTGAACTTTAAATTGCTGATCAATTATTATTGAAGCGTTAGATGTAGCGGTAGATGTGGCAGGAGATGTGGCAGGAGACGTAGTGGCAGTAGGCGAAGTAGTGGTGGTGGTTGATAGGGTATTATTATTTGAAGAAGATTGTTGATATTGTTGGCGAAAAAGATTTTTAAAGTTTGGAAAAAATGATGTTTGTGGAGATCTTGAAGAGAGATCAGGTAGATCATATTGTGTTAAATTAGGCGTTGAATGTGATGCCTGAAGGGAAAATATTGTATTTTTTTTATCTAGGTTGTTATTTTCATCGTTTGAATCAAAATTTTGTGTATATTTAAATTTATCAACCATCCCTGATTGTTGTTTAATCTAAAAAAAAAAAAATAATAATTTAATAAATTTAATGTTGTGTTGTTTATTAATTAATTAACATTATTATTAATCAATTACCTTTAGGTTCAAGTTATTTATTGATTTTTTTAGTGAATCAATTTCTTGATCGGTTATCATTCCACTGACCAGTGAATATTTTCTGCCTATTATGTGCTGAATAGATGAATTATAATCATTCATGATACTTTGCCATTCTATAAGTTAATTGATCGGTTGATTGAGTATTAATATACTGCATTCAAAATAAAACAATTGGAAATAAAAAAATTAAACATACGTTCTTTGACATTATTTGTAGTTTTTATTTTTTCAATAAATTTTTCAACAATAGTTAATACTTCGATTCTGTCTTGCCTATAAAATTAAACATGCATTTTGGACTATTTAAATATTAATGTCAATAATTGATTAATATAGATAAATATATTTACTCATTTGAAAATCTGCAAATAATTTTCAAAAAGTTTTCAAGAGAATCAATGATACGGGTGTGCAAATTCTCATCGTTTTCAGTTTGTCGTAATAATTCATAGATCATATATGGTGGATTACTATTAGTCAATCAATAATATTATTGCAAGTTTTGTTAACATATTAATTAATTTATATAAATGTAAATGTAATTTTTTTTTCAGATAATATACTTTGCATTTTCAACTATTCCATGGGCCATGTTGTGCAATTCAGCCAAATCTTTTTTGTTCTCTTCTCTATAGACATCAATTTGATTTATCAGAGAATCAGGAGGGTCAGAATTTTCGATAATTGTAAAATAATTGTAGATTCCTCTTCTTCCAAATTCTTCACGTAACAAGATACGTTCTTCAATTTGATCTGGTTTATTAACAATAGCATTTACTAAACTCAAACCAGCCACCTTATACTCGATCGATGTACTATCCTCCTCCTCGCCATCAGCATCACCTTTTGTTTTGAAAGTGTCCATAAAACATTGAAAACGATATTTTTCCTTATTGATCACACAAGAATCAGAGAATGACTCAACTACCAATCTATGTCCGTCCAATGACCATACACACAATACAGCAAGAATCTCAGCAACTTGAGTACGTAATTTGTTGTTCGGTGTAAATAATAGACAAAAAACAATATTCAAGATTAATGAAGGTGATTTTAAAACATTACATCTACCAATCTAAATTAATTAAAATTTATTTTTAGTAAGAAATAGAAATGAAGTAAAAATTTCAAGTTTCTTTCATTAATTTTTACTTTTGAATTCATTAAAGCCTTTATACAACGAACACACTGCGATTGAATTTGATAATCTTGATCTGAATGCTTCGTCACAGCACTGAAAAAGAAGAATAAATGGGATATAAAAAATTTACAATAATAATATTATGATATAAATAAAATAGTTGTGATCCTTTACTTCTTTTTATAGCAAGCAGAATATTTTTCAAGCAAAGATTCCAGAACCTTTAATCCATTCTTGTCAATAAATTCTTTAATCCAAGGAAAATTAGCAGACGATAACACTATTCGTAAAGATAATAGATGTTCTGTTAAGGATTTTGACGAAATGGTTCTAATTATGAAATTTTTGTAGAGAAAAAATTTTTTAGAGAAAATTAGATAAATACATGTAACTTGTATAATTATATACGATATAGTATAAATATTACCTTTGTGATAATTTTTCAATATAAAATTCAGGCAAGTCTTGAGGCTTTGATAAATTACTATTACTATTGTTGTTACTAAATCCTAATAGATATGAAAGATAATTATTATAATTATTGTTATTGTTATTATTATTAGTGGTGGTAGTAGTAGTATTGTTGATTGGTGATTGGCTTCTTTCTTCCAAAGAACCATTTGTTGCAATATTTTTATTATTGTCATTATCATGGTTGTTGTTGTTTCTATAAAGCCAATAAGTCAATGAAAAAGCATTATTATTGTTATTATTATTATTATTATCACTTGATACACTGGTGATAGATGCAACTTCTGAATCACATATTTGACTTTGTTTTGAATTGTTACTGGATTCGACATCAGGAGATGTTCTTAATTGTGGTGATTGCTTTAAATGCTCTTGAGAAGAATTCGGTGGTAATAGAAGAGATGATGGCGAAGGTACAGTTTTAGTTTTTGATGATGAAATTTTGACATTTTGATGTTTTTGATTGATTGATTGTGATTGACAATTTTGATGCATTATGGTTTTTTTACGATCCATTGAAAGTTGTAATAATTTTTCTCTGGAAGAATCTTGTATATTTAATTCATCCTTATTCAAATAATCGATTAATTATAATTATTATTAAAAGGAAATTATTACGTTTTTAGAAAAATTAATGTTTTTTATTAATTTATTAAATTAATCTTACCAAAAAATCTTCAAACATCTCTGACAATTTTTCATCATTGATGTCTTCATAATGTAGTATGGAATCTACATCGTCATTAACTATTGTTTCATAATTGTGTAATTGATTTAAGTTTGATCTAAAAGTGTTGTGATTGACAATAGCTGTTACATTGTCACTTCCACCGACATCACCACTTATCCAATTACCCGGATGAGCAACATTATCACTATTATCATCATCGTCCTCATTATTAGTTGTTGTCCCTAATAATAATAACTCAGATGATGATAAATTATCAATCGGATATTCTGAATTATTTAAAGCTGAATTTGAAACTGTATTTATTTTATTTTTTTCCTCGGAAGAATTATCATTTTCTTTGAAAGAATTGTTATTTTCTAAATTGTTATTCATTTTTCCAACGTTTTTTTCCAAAATTAATAAATGTACGAGTGTGTGTAAGTTCTATTAAAAAATTTTTTTTAACGAAATCAGCATTGTTTTAACACCATCGTGTTCATTTCAAGGAGTAACAATATATTCAAAACACGTGATATTATTTGATCAAGTAATTTTTTTTGATTACAATAATAAAAAGGAGAAACAGAAGAAGAAAGGGTTTGATTGTGGTGGTAGTGGGTTTTTAAAGAAATAAATTAAACAAAACACAAATTTGGGTTAATTATATGTGTCACGTGAATAAGACGTCACAATTTTGCTTGTTCCCTATTATGGTGTAAATCTAAATTGATTTATTGGGAAACAAAAAATATTTACAATGGCATTATCACTACCTACAGAAATTCTGATGGAGATTTTTTCAAATCTTCCACCACGGGATCTTTATTCTTTATCAGTGACATGCAAACAATATAGGACTCTTTTATGGTCAGTTACCTCTACCACACAATGTATCTGGCGTACATCAAGACAAAGTTTCTTTGAAGATTTAACCCTACCGCCACCTGAAGGGATGTCAGAACAATATTATATTTGGCTGATGGTGTTGTTGGACAAGTGTCAATTCTGCAACGAAGGCGCTAAATTTAAATTGACAATGTATTGGGAGTTCCGTATGTATTGTTGTGAAAGTTGCTTAAAGGAAAGAACTATAAGTCAACAAGTTTTGGTCAATGAATCTAGAATCCCAGAAATCTTAATACCTTGTATGCCATATGTACGGCGTAATTCTGATCCATGCGAACCGCAATTGTTTCTGAAAAAAGATGTCGTTTCAACCTTGGCATTTTATGAGAATTTAATACCCGAAGAAAAAGAAAATTGGATAATTTTGCAAAAAGAAAAAATTTCAAAATTATCAATGGATAACGAAGGTTATAATATTCAACATGATCGAACAAGGTATGATATTAATGAGCTGATTGTAAGAACATTAAGTAGATATCTGTAAAACCGGCCGATGTATTCATTCATTTTATTCTTTAAGATGAGAATTTCAATCAAATCACCACCAATAAAATTTATTTATAATAGTAATAATTAGACATTAATAAATAAAAATATTAGAATTTTGTTTTTTATAGATTTTTTTTTTTTTTTCAAATAAATAGATTCACAATTAAAATCCAAAGAGAATTATTCTATTTTAGTTTTTATTATTATTTTATTTTAATAATAATAATAATAATAATAGTAATACAATAACAATATATTATTTAAAATATTATCAGATTCAAAATGTTCTTTATAAAAAAAAAATTTTTTTTTCAACTAATGATTAATTATATAATGTTCATTGTATATATTTCCTTCAATAATAATTTTTTGTATTTTATAAATTTTTTTTTTTTTTTTTTTAAACTAAAGACAATTTAAAATTTATCTATATAAATGTATGAAAAATAAAATAGAATTTATTTTTTTATGGTGATGGTAAATTTTCAAAACAATTTTTTTCATCAAGTAATTTTTCTCTATCTCCCCATAACAATTTATAAGAATTTTTAATAGTTGCTTCAGAGACACCAGTTACTTCAGCAACATCTTTTGGTGATTTTGGTTGTTGATACAAACATGAAGCCATATAGATGCAAGCTGCAGCTACCGAGACAGGAGATTTACCTGCCAAAGTACCAAGCTCCTTTGTTCTAGTTGTAAGTTCAAGAGCAGCCTTTTCGGTTTTCATTTTAAGACGCAACATTGAACAGAACCGTGACATCAAATCTTCAGATACCATTGTTGGTACATTAGTTTCGAACGTACCTGTCAAGATTTTAAAACAACGTCCAATGTCTTTTTTTGGAACACGAGTTTTTGCATGGATCTCTTTAAAAGTACGTGGTACATTTTGTTTACGACAAGCAATGAATATACATGCCGCAATTATAGATTCTGTGCTTTTTCCTCTCAACAGTTTCTCTTCTTCGGCACGTCTGTACAATTGTTTAGCAACATCAGCTATAACTTTTGGTAGATCCATTGCATCACTCATTGCTGCAATTTCTTTGTAAGCTTGAATAAGGTTCTTTTCACCTTTTACAGCATTTGCACGACCATGAACTCTGTTTAGGTCTCTTGCAGTTCCACTACCACCATCTCTTCTTGATATCACTGTATCTAATTGTGAACCTTCCAAAAGGGGATTTGCTGCTGCACCAACACGAGATGGATCATCTCCTTCATCATTGGCAAAGGTTCTCCATTCAGATCTAGTATCAATAATACGATCGCCTAATATCAGACCACAGTCACCACAAACTAGATCCCCATTTGCAAATTCTTCAACAATGTTTGGTACAGGGTTTTTACAATCAGGACAAATCAGCCTAATGTTTAAATCTGGGAGAATTTGTTTCGGACCTTTCTCAGGTGCCGGTTGAAGACGTGGAAATGGTATGGCTGACATTTTTTTATTTCTTTTTTTCAAAAAAAAAAAAAAAAACCTAGTATACAACAAATTAAATTATTATTAACTTGCATTCTTCCTTTCATATAATCATAATAATTAATTATTTATTTTTTGCAATATCATATGTGTGTGTGTGTGTATATATATATATATATATACCTTTTGCAATTATAAAATCCTTGTTTCTGAAACTACGCCAAGTGACTTTATATTAATTTAAAAGTAATATTCTTAAAGGTTATATATATATTGTTACGATTATATTACTTTCACACACTTCTTTCCTAGTTTTAAAGTGAGAATTTAGTTGGTTTATTAGGTTTAAAAGTGGCGAATATTTTACGTAAAGGAGTTCAAGGTGAAAAAAAAATAATAACAATGAGGTGCAGCTACCATGTAGTTGTTATTATTTATTATTCACAAAAAATATCCGCAAATTGCTAAATTGATTTCTAAATATGCCCAACCATTATAAATTTCTAAATAATAATAATGATAAACCGCAACTAGAAATTTTCAGGAGTTCAAAAAACGAAGTGAACATTGAATTATATTAATATTAATATGCATCAAATTTTCATAGAGAAAACTACTAAAAAGGAAATAAGTAATTATACATACAATACCATGTACTTTGATGGAAAAATCAATAGTTGTAAAAAAAATCGGAATTTCTCTCTCCATTACTATTACTATTACTATTTATATTATTTATTATTATTCACGTTTTCACAAACTGCAAATATCTTAATATTTCTTACTTTTCCAAACGAATTTTTCTTTCTTGGCCTTTTTTGCTTCAACATACCAAAAAGTCAATGGATAAACCAAAGTGGAATGGAATGAGTTACATGTAAAGAAAGTATTGTTGCTCTCGCTATAAAAAACTTTTATCAATTGTCATGATAAAGAAACAAATATATAATTTTTATATTTATATAAATAAAAACATGATTTACCTTTCCTTGTATGTGGATGAATACTTTTGTCTCCGTATGTTGCATCTTTATACGTACGCAACTATGGTTGCAAAAGTTGCAGTTGCTGGATCACACTATTCGAGTTCTTTATTCACATTATAATAATACCGAAAAAGCCATCTTTTGGGGCTAATTGCTCTTTTTCAAGTTCTCTCAAGTACCTGAAATTAATAAAATCCATAGCCCCCGAATCACATTGGGTTTGGAGCCTCCAGGTTGATGTGTAGATTAACTTTTTTTTGGGACAAAAAGATGAAGATTTGGTTTTTAAATTCTGAGAATTGAATCAAACTTCAAAGGTTTTAGCTGTCATTTGTTGATTTTATCAGTTCGTTTCCTGTTAAAAACAATGCAGCTATTATTAATATTAAAGCTATAATTAAATCTAGCCAACTAAAAGAAATCAAAAATTATTACCAGCCTTTAAAACCTAAGATCCAATAACACGTATAAAATGACAAGTAAAACTCTCTATTTTTGTCTTTCGTAACGATTCAATTTTATATTGTGTTATGCAATTATACAACGGATAAGATTAATTTGACACTTTTTTAAAAATAAAGAACCTATCACTAATCATCAACATCCAGTATTTCTATTCGAATATACGTGGGTATCCATAATTAAATTGATTTAAAAAAAAAAATTTCCTTCAGTATTATTTAATTAGCAAGATGAAGATGAAGAAACAAATTTGAATTTCTGTCAAAGTCCATTACTGACAAACCACGGAAAACTAGAGAAGGTTTTATTTTCTACCATAAGTAGATTGCATTCTCTTCAGACAGATGAATGGAATTGATTATATCCATCATTTCTTGAAAAAGGGAACGAACCCACCTTTTTTTCAAGGATCAAGTCATTTGAGACTAAGATATTTAAAACATGATATGTTATATATAATTTTATATTGTCAATACAATTTATTGAATAGAAAATGATGGTGATGAAATGGTTATTATAACCATGAGTGACAATTGTCGGTTTAATAATATTATTTATATATGTGGTATGATTTTTGTTTGATTAGAAGTGATGTTTCAAAATCAAAGTATTCTAAATCAAGCAAGATATTATGAACAAATTAGTAAGAAAATTGATAATAGTGATGGTTGTGATAAAGATATGATGGTGATAATGATGAAATACCAAATTTTAGTCGTGAAGTAATTTTTTTAGTTCTGTAAACATGGTGAGATTTAAACAATGATCTATATATAACGTTCCTCTTTGTTCCTTTTAAGTTTATTTTCAATCATTCATTTTAAGATTTTCAATATCTATGTCTTAATATTAGAGATAAATGGAAGAGGTACAGTGGTACATATTTAAATTCAATTACTTATTATTTAAAAAAAAGTTATATATACATCCAATAACTTAATTAGAGAGGCAATTTTTAAATAATCATCAAAGAAAAATTGATTAATCGAATAAAATCGATTCTAAATTCAACTCGGCTTTCGGAATCGAAGAAGAGGCTAGAGCTGGTAACAACTGTTTACATTCCTTAAACATTACTAATTAAAATATGAAGACATGTTCTTCATCTACAGTACCTGGAC